CCATTAACGCAGATAAGGTGGAAGTGCCAGGTGAGCTTGTTTTTTTTTCTCCAAAAGCTCGTAATTACCCAGGTGCTGCAAAGGAACGAGGTTCCCCTCAGGGCTAGCCCTGGCCCCTTAGACCGCTCTGCCTGGTCCCCCGTGTGATCTGTGTGCATGTGGGCGAGTGCACGCCAGGCAGGGGCCGTGAGTTATCTGTAAGTATCCTGGCTAATGAATGTCTTGAGTAATGCTGACTCTGAGCTGGGGCAGAAGAGGAACAAAGTTTAATGAGAGGTTACAACAGGTCAGACAGGATTCTCTCAGCACCTTGTTGAAGCTGCGTCCAGCTGAGTCCTTCTCGTTCGGCCTGTACTCCAAAAGCTGAGCGTCCAAGATGTCCACGAGCTGCTCCATCAGGCGCACGGAGGAGCTGATGTCTCCGGCAAACACCGGGCCCTGTGTGTGTCGAGCCAGCTCGTTGGCTAAATTTGCTGCATTTTCGCCACTTCGGATCTAAAAACGGCAGTGGGGAAGAAAAGAAGAAGAAGATAAAAAGAAAAAAAAAACAGAAACAAGAGGGATGTCAAAAAATGTGGGGTATGCAGGTTTGAGATGATGGTTATATAACGTCAGCTTGAATAATTTATTCCACATACATTTCAGTCCTAATCCACTGCAACACGGCTTGTTCAAAACGAAAAAAGGAGTTTTAGTGACACACAAGCTTGAGAAAACTAAAGCAAAAAAGGTAAACCTGCATGGAATAATTATAAGTGTGTGTCTGTGATCCGTCTAAAACAAAACCCATTATCATGGCCAACCTCAACTAAGCACTGACTCACTGCCATACTACATACATAATTCAAACACATGCATGCTAATTAATGTGTTTCGCTTGCAGGGAGCATTCAAACTATTGTATTGAAGGCTGTAAAACATGCACAGACACAGGTCATACAAAAATATCATTCCGACCATCAGCCTACAAGAAAAAAAAAATTAGAGGTGTCAAAAAGAGTGGTGAAGCTGTATGACTCAATGCAAACGCATCAAAAACTTTGTGTAACTTCTGCACAGCCACCATCACAAGCAGTTTAATTCTGTTTTTGAGCAAATAAATAAAAATGAAATCTGATGATTTATATTATGACCTACAGAGGGTTTAACAAAATAAGCATACTGCCTCCTTAACTCTTAATATAGCTATTCTGCATTAACACAGCCTACTTAGTTGACAAAAAACTATTTATTTCTTCCTTTATTTATTCATTTTGCCAATTTGCGCTTCGTATATTGCCTTTGGGAAGCATATAGGACGACATACCTAAAGTGCAAACACAGTCCAAAAACTCTCCGGATAGATGTGCTGCAATTCACTATTTAAATAATAAAAAAAATTGTTGTTTATTTCTCTGGAAAACTGCTTAAGACAGGACACGACTCTTTAAATTAGAATTTGTGCATTTCCCCAGAAACTCTGCTCGAACCTGCTGCTTTCTCTAGATGTATTTTTTTCCCAGTCAAGAGCAACAATAATCTCCCCCTTAGAATGCAGTGTGTTGTGTTTCTGATGCATTATTGTGCGCTTGGGCTATTGAAGCTCTTATCRGTGCATCTACATTTCTACCTGCACAACATCAAAGCACCGAAGCACTGACGAAAGAGACCCCGCTTCTTTGATTCTCTGTAGCACAATGCAGCTGTCGGCATTTACTCTTGATATTCTTTTAGTCATTGGAAATATTGAACTTAATCCAGGTCCAGATAAAAATGTTTTATGTCCACTTTTTTATATTTTATGGTACTTTATACATATGTTTTTAATAATTATCTTGACCTGGGTTTGTGCACAGGTGTATCTTATACAAATCCAACTCAGTTACAGTCTACACAGGGATCTATATTATATCCTGAAAAGGTTAGACAACCTCCTGTTATGTCAAGTCTGAACACTACATCAGTAAGAAAGCAAAAGCGATTTTCCTGTCTAAAAAAAATCCAGGGACGCTAAATCAACTACAGTAGGTAAAATTAGAGGCTTTAAAATCTGTCATTTAAATATGAGAAGTCTTGTACCTAAACTGGATGAATTCAAAATAATACTTGCTCAGACACAAGCACATGTTATGGCTATATCAGAATCATGGCTGACTCCTACTTTACAGTACCAAATTAGTTTCTTTCAGTTGAAAATTATTCATTGTATCGTAGAGACCGTACTGATAGGCTTGGAGGTGGTGTTGCAGTTTATGTATGTTCACAAGAAATACTCACATTCTATAATAGAA